CCGTGCAGTGGGGCCGCCCCACTCTTTCCCCAGGGATCTCCGGGGTGGGGTGGGGGGTGTTGTCCCAAACTGGTCACAAGAACCTTGGAAGTGCGGCTTCTTGTGCCTGTACCTGGGGGATTTCCCTCTTTGGTGCTGGGTCCACCATCCCTGCATTTCCCTCCTCTGCTCGGCTGGGACCAACAGCCTGGGAGGAAACCCCAAAAGGAGGCACCCCTTCGCTCCCTGGCTCCACTTGAAGTTCTGCTGCAGCCAGGGTGGATTTGATTTAAATCAAGTCGATTTAAATCACCATTTAAGTCAAGTTGGTTTAAATCACGATTTAAACTAAGTCAATTTCAATCCAGTCAATTTAAATCAGAATTTAAATCAAGTCGATTTAAATCACGATTTAAATTAAGTCGACTTAAATCAAGTTGATTTAAATCAAATCAATTTAAATCAGAATTTAAATCAAGTCAATTTAAATCGCAATTTAAATCATAGTTTAAATCACTATTTAAATCATGATTTAAATCACTATTTAAATCATGATTTAAATCACTAGTAAAAGGAATTGATTTAAATCATAATTTTTAAAGAGCATAATTTTTAAAGTCATCTCTGTCCCGCAGTGGCCTTCCTGGAGTGCCAGGCGTTGCCTCTCCCTTCCTGACTCTTTTCCTCCCTCCAGGGAGAAGGATCTCAATGAGAAGCGAAACTTGTTTTGTTGCCAGACATCATACATTGCCCCAGCCTGTCCCACTGCTGATCCTGGATCCTTGGTGGCTTGGCATCTGAGGTGGGCTGTGGGTGGGCCAGGTGGGCAATGCTGCTTCTGCTGCTCAGCGGGTGCCACTGCTCTGTGCGGTCCCAGCACAGCTGCCTTATTGCCCTTGCAGGGAGGTCGTGACCTTTAATCATTTCCTGGAGGAAGCAGCCGAGAAGGAGGTCCGTGGGAAAGCCCGGCTGGAGCGCTTCATCGAGAACCTGCTGCAGCGGGTCGACCAGGCGGAAAAGCAGCTGGAGAAGTACCAGCATCAGCATCTGCTGGGCAGCTCCGGAGACCTCAGCCAACATCTGGTGAGCGGACACTCCGAAGGGAAGAGAAGCCTGCTCGTCTCCAAATCCTGGCCTTACAAGAGTCCTCCGTGGCTTCCCAATGTACTTGGCAGAGAGGCCATTCCCTCTCTGGGACCACCTAGGACAGTGTTGGCAAACATTTTTGGCACTGAGTGCCAAAACTGGAACGCAAGAACATTTTCGGCATTGAGCGCCAAAACAGATGCACACCTGAAACCAAAAAAGCAGATGATTTTCTGGTTTCTGGTGCGGATGCACGCACAAAGACCAACTGTCCACTGCCCATGCGCCGGCTCCGCCTTGCCTTTCAGGGGTACTCGCGTCTCCCTGTCCACCCCTCTGGTCCCCGTCGGGTTGGTGGGGTATAACCACTGATGACCCAGTTCCGCAGTGTCGGACGGGTAGAGAAACTTGGGTGGGGAATGCTGCCTTCCTCCGCTGGAAAGCAGGAGCACTTTCCCAGCCTCGGAACAAGCCAACGCAGCCCCCTCCCCTCTCCCACCACTTCTGCCAAGGGAGCAGGACTACCTCCTGAGCGCAGTGCCACTTACTGCAACTGCTTCCCAGGTGGCGCGTCTCCCGGGCAGTGGCTCTTCTGCTTTCTGGCACTCTTACACTCGGGAAGACAAGGTGGCTGGTGCGCCTGAACCCAGAAGAGCAATGGGTGATGGCTCCCTGTGCCTGGAGAGATGGTTCTGCGTGCCACTTCTGGCATGGGTGCCATAGGTTCGCCCTCATGGATCTAGGACCCTCATTTCCTCCCTTTGAAGGTCCCCGGAGTGGGTGTGGCTCAGGGGTGGGTTTGTCGCCCCGTTCCAACCGGTTCGGTCGAAACGGGGCCGGCGGCGTCCTCGTGCACGCGCGCGGTGCACGCATGCGTACTAGCGTCTGTGCGATGCTTCATCTGCTCCTGGAGGATTGCACAGGCGCTGTATGCGTCCTGCGCATGCGTGGAAGTGCAGAACTCGTCAAAACCGGGTAAGGAGCGC